ATTGGAACTTAAACAGTTTTATTGGCTAGGAAATAGATAAATGCTTATCTATCCAAGTATGCTATTTGTAACAAATGCAAAAGAGTTCCCTTAAGCCGTGTTTGGATCATAGATTTGGGTAATTTATATTTTTTTTCATTTCCCTTTCCAAATCCCTACTCAAATCTAAGATCTAAACATAGTGAGTGTTGGTTCACTGATAAGGAAACAGGAAACTGAGGCCCATGTGGATTTGGTGCTATGATCGTTTGGTTTGCTCACTTTGTGTAATTTCTCTACTAAACAGAAGCCAAACTGAAAGCTATTAGGCATGGACTTAAATTAGTGCGCACTGTGGTTTATCACAAAATCTTCTCTGAGTATCGATTTCCTTCTTTATATCAGCAATTTGAAATAGAAAAATGCCTCATACACCCACTGGGGGTCGACCCCCAGTGAGGTGGCACTCCATAATTGGTCAAAAAAAAAACTGTTTTCTTTTTTTTTTTTTTTTTTTTTTGGGTTTCGGCCCGGGGTGGTTTATCACAAAATCTTCTCTGAGTATAGATTTCCTTCTTCATAGCAGCAATTTGAAATATAGTTAGTGCCTTGGAAATTTGAATGCTGTCATTTATACCTGAGTAGAAAAGTTATTGGGTGGCTTATGTATTTCTTATGACCTTTTGAAATTTGTTTAGGTTGTGTTTGGATCTAAGATTTGATGAGAGATTTGCGGAGGGAAAGAAAAAAGTGAATGAAATATGAACTAAATCAGGGCCGGCCCTGGCCTAAGGTCAATAAGGCTTGTGACTTAGGCTCCACAATTTTGACCCAAAAAAAGGCCCCCAAATTTAATAAATTGTTATAGGCTCAACCTTTTTTTTGTTTTAGGATCAATTTAAAGGGCCCCAAAATGTTTTATTGGGCCCATGTCTGGTTTAGTCCATATTTATGTGATTTGGCCCATATTTATTAAAATAAAAATATATATAAAAAAAAAAAAAAAACACAAATAAAGTGTTTGGGCCCAACCTGCTCTGATACCATGTAAAAAATGCAATCTATAAAAAGAAATAGAGAAATGTATTATTGATTGATGTATGTTGATCTTGATGTGATGTTGTATGTTACAAATGGTGAGTGGCTCATTATATAGGAGAGGGTGAGTGTAGTAGGTGAGGAGTAGGTGGTGGTAGGTGATGGTAAATTGGTGGTAGGTGATGGTAAATTCTAACACATACCTACAATATACAACATTGTCCACTTAATATATGAAAGTAAATTTTAGTTTATAATTTTAATAATTATATGTGCAAGTATACTTAAATAAAAAATTTGTGAATACTTATCATTTTAATCATAAATTTTTTATTAAAAAAAAATATATTAGAAGGCCCATTTTCATAGTTCGCCTTAGGCCTCACAAATCTCAGGGCCGGCCCTGAACTAAATTATTGTCATTTTCCCCTTCCTTTTCCGTTTCCATTTCCATTTCCATTTCCTTCACCAACCCCTAATCAAATTTTAGATTGAAACACAACTTTAGTGATGGAAAACGGAATAGGAGACGGAGGGAAGGCAAACACAAACAGCCACAGCCTTTTCTTAATTCAATATGTTATTAGTTCCAAAGCCAAACACAGCAATGTCAAAAGCCTAATATATGTAACTCTTACAAACCCACAATTAATTAGGAAAGCAGTCTAATATTATTTAGTTAAATCTAACTAAACAATAATAACAAACTACCAATTACATTTGTGGGACCAAAAAGTATTCTGACCTACATGCTTCACCTTGGGTTTCCAAATCCAGTAATAGGTTTCCAACCAATCTAAGGTTGCGTCATCACTTACTGATAAGGAATATGTATCCATACGGGCAGCCCTTGACTGGTTAGATGCCAATTATCGGATTTGGAAGCCTAGGGTGAAACCCATGGGCTGGAAGACTTTTTGGCGTCCAATAAATGTTTTTGGTAGTTTATTATTATTATTATTGTTAGTTAGTTGTTCTGATTATGTTTCCAAATACTAATAGGATTTGATTTCCTAATTTGTTTTAGGGTTTTTGTCTATATATATTAGGCTTTTGACATTGTAATAGTCAGCTTTGAATAATATTATTGAGAGTAGAAAGGCTGTGACCGTTTGCGTATTCCTCTCCCTCTCTTCTCCTATTTCTGCCTAGAGTTGGATTTATGGTAATGGATGCTTTTTAGGTTAGTGCTCCATTGTGTATAAGAAGACCTCTAAGCTTTTTTCTAGATTGAGAAGGGGTTAAATTCAGTTAGGTTTCAATTCTTGAACTGCAAGCTGTTGGATTTTTAGAAAAGTTGTTGCTAGACAATGTGGTTGCTTCCTGATAAACTTTGACAATGTACTACTTTTATGCAGGCTGAACAATAGGTTAGTATTATGACAAAATCCACAGATGACAAATCAGCTGGAGTAGAATTAGAGGACCGACCTGCCATGTCAGCATACTTGTTCCTACACAGAACCTGTTCGTTTAATCAGTAATTGCACAACCACAGAAAGTACAGGTGGGCATACTCATCTAATGGTGAGGTCCCATTGTGAGTCGAGAAGACTCTTCCTTGGCAGGCACCGCCATCCCACACCTGTACTTTCTGTGGTTGGTTCTTTGGATGATTCTGTGTCTGTATAGTTATTCTCTGTACATTTGTACAGGCTTGGACTAGGTGCAGTAGTCCCACAGCAATCGTCTAAGGTTGGACCTTTAAATGACCCCGTTGAAAGGAAATTGCATGCTAAATTAGATGCTGGAAAAAGGAAAGCAACCAAAAATACAAAGGAATCCAAACCATCTGTAAGGGATGGAGATGATGCCAAGAAGAGAGTAGTGCCTTTGCCTTCATCATTACAACCAAAAAGGAAGCAGAAGTAATTTGTTCTCTGCTAAGGTGAAATCTTAGCAGGACTTGGGAGCGAGTCATAAACTCAGATATTTTGGATACAATTCTCATTGGTGTCTTCCCGTGCATAACTGATACATGTAGTTTGTGATTCGAGTTTACATGTGGATGAGTCCAAAGAACTGTGTCTCGGGAACATTTCTCATGACATCAAACTAGTAAGTTGTTTCATGGCAGTTCCATCTATCGCCTTATCACCTTATTCCACAACAGATTAATGTGAAATTTCATGGATCTTACTTACGTCATTGCTTGAAAAGGGAAAGTATATCTAAGGAATGTTATTTATTTGCCCTGTACAATAGTCACAATTAGTGGAAATGTTTGAGAGAGCTTGAAGAGGTTTTTTGTAATGTCAGTTTCTAGTTGAAATGTTATTAAACTGAGCTCTGTAACTCTTTTTCATTTTTTTTTATGTTAGAAATTGGGCGCCCATGTGGCATGACCCTTAGAACCTTTTGAACCTCATCCAAATGGGTTTTGAATTTGAATTCAAACCTATTTGGATGAGCCACTCAGGATATATATCTATCATATCATGATATGGATAGATGATATAGATATCAGATATTATCTCATTTAACCAATGGATAAATGAGATAAATATAATATATATCTGATATATGGTTATGGGTAACCAAGAGACAAAACAACGTAGGTTTTGTTTTCTACCCAAAAAACTGACTCTCTCCCAAGATACAACGATCAAGTCAATTGCACTGTGGTTTGTGTGGGTGATATTCACCATTGTAATATCACCCCACTGCTGGGATTGATTGATTGAGTATGGAAGCACGTGATTTATCCATGAGGTTCTATCATCGAAAGATATGATATGATTATTTTATCCGCTGCGTAATTGTTTTGTGTTTTTATTTACATTTTATGTGGAAATTGGAAACAAAAACTTGTTTGGTATTTTGTTTTTGTTTTCAAAAAATGTGAAATTGATTTAAAAAATTTTGAATTTTTATTTTTAACTTGTTTTCAATATGTTTCCTCCCCACCACCTCTAGCCACTGCCACCAGCCACCTACCACCATCAAACTCTAGCATTGCCATTCATTGGCCAACCATTCGTCGGCAAGCTCTAATGAGCTCCAACCACCTTTCGGCAGTCGGTTGATCACTGCCTATGACCTCTGGCAACCAACTCCGGTTGTCACCTTCAACCACACCCATAGTCAACCACCACTTCCGATAACTCACCAACCATGTTTTCATATTTTTGTTTTATTTGTGTTCAAAACATTATTATACACTTAACAAGTTTTTGTTTTTGTTTTTAATTTAAGAAAATAAATGGAAGTTTGTGTTTTGTTTATAAACCAAAAAAAAAAAAAAAACAAAGAAACTAATAACGTTATTAAACAAACACTTCAACCTTCGATACCAGATAATAAAAGTGTGAACTATAGATGCCCTTTGTTTTCTTGTTGGTTGCTTTCTTATCCCTTTCCTAGAGTGAAGAAAATGGTTGCTTATTGTCAATGAAATTAGCTATAAAGTTACATATGACTTTAGCTGGAAGTTGACATGTTTGTGGTGGCCAAAATCTAAAATAACAGCTAAGGAAATTCACCATACTTTCAAGAGATCCCACAGAAAGCCTTTAACTTGATATGACCATTTAAACAAAATTGTAGGCTGACTTTTTGCAAGAATAGTTTGGATATGTTGACAATTTTTGGTTATTTTAAATTTGATAAAAGAAATGGGAGAGCTTATGTTCACACAACACAATGTTCAGATATCAAATTCAAACCTTGTTCTGTAGTTGATATCTGAACAAATTAATTAAGAATTTAGTGTTAAAATTAAGTCAAAAGTTAGGAAGTAGTGTGTGATTTAATTGAATTATTTTTTTCCCCTTGGAAATTTTTTTTTAAAATTAGAAATTGTGTATAATAGAAGATTCAGAAAGAAAATAAGACAAAAAAGAGACAAGAGGGCCTAAAAGGATATTAAGGCCATTTCTTGTCTGTCGCTACTAGAGTTACAATTTAATTCAAAACCATATGCCATTATATTTAAACCATAAAAATTGGGAAAATTTGAAGATCAACAATACCACGAAGAAAGCTTGTCAAATGCAAACAACACTCCTGTCTACATTTCATTTTTCATTTTTCATTTTTTTTTTTCAATTACAACTTACTAGTCACCACTCACAAAACTCACAAAAACCCACAAATGTGTAATTACATCAGTAAGAACTATGTCAAAAACAAAAACACAAAAACAAAAAGAGAAATGAATAGCATCAAACAACAAAAGAGGGAAAATTTTCACACAAATAGATACAAAACACAATCCACACACCATATCCTACAAATTATACAAGATGAACACCTCAAGTCATCAAGCCGTTGGGTTATAAATCCACTGCACAAAAAACGATGCTCGTCATGGTCATGGTCATGGAAACGCCACAGTCTGACATTATTTGTTTCCAGATGGAACACCTACTCCGGAGATAGATGTTTTCGATCCCTTCCCTATTTGGTAAGAATCTTTTATTTCGGCAAAGAAAGCTCATGAGCTAGGGTTAAACAGACTAGAAAATTTGTCATATCCATATAGTTTCAGTAGAGAATGTTAGAAAAAGACCAACTTGGTGAGATGTCATAGCCCCATCCCATGCTGCCTCAAGGTGGGCCCAAACGAACAACAAAATGAAGTCGGCTGCATTTTACAAATCTAAGTCATTAATCTCTACCAACTCTTCTGGGAGCATAGAAGAATCGACTTCTTCACCTTCATTTACAAAGCTCAATATGGCGTCTTCCACCAACTCTTCAAAAATGGCTTCTCCAATATCAATACTGATACTTTCAACATCGAATCGGAGGTCCATCCATGTTCCGGTTTTCGCCATGTCTTTTCTGACAATTTGGTCCAAAGTATGAGGAGAAGGCATTGGGAGCAGATGCCATTCAACTCCTTCCCATACTTCATGGATGAGACTCTCCCTCCTTGGGATTGGCCGAATGTTATGTTTTATGAACGACACCCAAGGGGAATTACCAAAATACCGCTCACAAACCTCCTGAAGAACTTCATTAGTACAATCAAAGAGGAGCTTTTGGTCATGACAAGATCGGTTTGAAAACAACTCTACTTCATCAAACAATGATGCGTCCAGAATTTGATCAGAAGATAGCCACCTCAAGAGAAATTCCTCCCAATTCAAGTCGGAAGCCAATAAAACTGCTTCAACATACTCAAACGCAGATTCCTCGTCCTCCATACAAGTACTTATGCAAATTTCTCGACTTGTAGCACAAATCATCCGTTCTTCGAAATGGATCTGCAGTGGCTGCATGGGAGGTTCGACTGTAGATTTTTGGGGCTTTAACTTAGAATTATATCAATGTGATATACAAAAGAAAAAAGTATTAGGTGCAGAAGCATTTTATATTTGGTATAAACCATACCTGTTTGGGATTTGATCCTTGCAGGGCTGATGTCATCTTCTGTGAATAATGGCTCAAGCACAGATACAGGGCTGGGCCGCTCTGATCTCTCATTGGTACTATCTAGATCTTCAACATGTTCGGTGATCGAAGAGCTTGGTGGAGACGTTAATGAAGAAGATAGTAATTGGTCCTGTTCAAATGAGTCCTAAAGAAAGAACAACAAGAACATTGTGATAGATTGAGTTAGAAACACAAGTGACCGAAGCACGGACAACTCTAAGGTAATGTGTCATATCCGACATTGACATAACACAACACTCGTTAAACACTTCCCAACACTTAGATGCACATAAAAAAAACATTACTAAGTTCAAATAAAATATTTGGGAATCCAATTATAAAACAAAAACAATTTAAATTTATACCTATTCTCCTCTTTTGAACTTTAAAAATTATATATTTGACTTAAATATTCATATATATATATATATAACATATAATAATTATTTATCCTTACATATGACATATAATAAATACATAAAATTATATATTTTGCATGTGTCCCTCACATGTTGTGTCATACATTTTTTAAAAATTTCTTTGTTGTATCACGTGCCCGTGCTTCTTAGCTACAAACTTAACCATTCATAGTAGTGGTTCTAATCATTCCACAGGTTTTCCAAAGCTTTTTAAAACATCTGAATCTAAAGTGTGTTCTTGTAAAATGTATTGATACAAGTTGTGACAAGATTAAATTGTTTCATACTAAAAGAGCATTTGAAAACTTTGGAAAGGAAAAACTCAGACAAGTAACTATTTGATGGTGTTTGGTTTGCTGGAATAATTTGACAGAGACATAGAATGACTATTCCATGGCCTTCCAATGGACATTCTACTAAATTGGTGAACAGTGATAACATTTCCAATGTAAATTCCTCTCTTTTTTTTTTACCAAAACAAACATGAGAATGGTATTCTGATGGAGTGATCATTCCATTCCAGTCGCATTCTAGTAAACCAGACACTGCATTAGTACTACAGAAACACCTGAGGGCAACAGGGCTTTACCAATTTCAAGCACGGGGCAGATTCATCTTCGTCACAAAGTTCAGGAAGATCACCGTTTCGCTCATCTCCAATAATGGAAGAGCTACACTGTTCAGCTGAAATGTCCATGATTCCGATCTCCACAATTTCAATCTCCTCCAGGACTAATTCATATGTTTCTAAAATCTCCACATCACCTGAACAAATTTTATGAACTGATTAGTAAGTCTTCAGCACAATGATTTAATAGAACTAGTGGTTGTGCAAACACAATGTGTGCTATGAAATCCACAACCAAAGCCGTTGAGAGATTTTTTAGGGGAAAAAAAACTCAACCAATTATGTATGGCAAAATTGCTCTTGCGTGGGCATTTTCAGAAATAAGAAGAAAAAAAAAAAAGTGTTACAAAACTTCACCAATTTGGTTGTAGGCTTTATATAATAGTATAGATACTTCTCGACATAAGTTGGAGAATGGAGAAAACAATACCTTCACAACTCTTCTCAGGTCTCATAGAACACGATGTTTCTTCCACTGCATTAGCACGAGCAAGCTCATCCAAGACATCTGAATTTGCGTTGCAAGATTGTACCATGTCTTCAGGACATACAATTTATCTCTATCAATATATTTTACAGTATAGATACTTCACGACATAAGTTGGAGAATGGAGAAAACAATACCTTCACAACTCTTCTCAGGTCTCATAGAACACGATGTTTCTTCCACTGCATTAGCACGAGCAAGCTCATCCAAGACATCTGAATTTGCGTTGCAAGATTGTACCATGTCTTCAGGGTTGTCACTAATGCATGATTGATCATTTAAGTCTTGTTGTGAAGGACTTAGATGACTGACATGGTTTTCTTGTGTAAGCTGGCCTGTGTTTGCATTGTCCCTTCTGGGACTGCAAACAGGAGACAAATTGAACTCCGGAAGAGAGAGAATCCTCCCCAGTGATTTTGGTAATTGCTGGCTTGAAAAATCCTCAATCTCATCTCCATTGCTCAGCATTTCTGAGAGATGTTTCTTGGCCTCGACGTAGATGTTAGATACCCTAAGCTTGGCAAAATCAACAGTTTCATTTCCCGAGCTTGTTTCAGTGTCTTTTAGCTTGCAATTATTTTCTTTGTTCTTGACACCAATTGCGGGTCTGGCAAATCTTTCATTATAGAAATGGTTTCTATTCGGAGAATTCCATCCACCCTTTTCCCTGCCAACGCCTTTGTCATTATATCCCATGTTTTGATCATTGGAATGGGACCCATGCCTCTCCTTTCCCATAGCATTCTTTAATTTTCTTTTAATTTTGGTAAAAGAAAATTGGGAAGCAATTTTCTCAGTCTGCACTTTAGTCCCCAAGTCGTGATGAGCTTGCGGTGAGGAGCTAAGCTTCATTTCAGTTTCGGAAATTTGCACACTTTGTGGTCCGGGCTTCAAAATGACAATTCTACTTGAATTTTGACAATTTTCATCTCCATTCAGCACAATTTTTTCCTGAGATTTGCTCTTTCTCCTGAAGAAGTTGTGCGGCTTACGTGCAACGGGCTCAGATGGTTTTGAGTTATTTAGCTCCCCACCTAACAAGTTGAATGTTGCAGATGAATTCGAATTTTGGTCTTTCTCGCTCTGACCATCCTCCAAGTTGTCAAATTGCTTCATTGACAGCGAGTTCGGATCTTTTAGGAGTTTCAAAATCAATTCTTTATTCGAACTTAATGTCTGAAGTATATCTGTAAATTCTTTGGAGCGGTCAATTTTCCCATTCGTAAACCTCTGATCTACAAACACCTTAATTGCTTCAACAAATTTTTCGTCAAATATAGACTGAATGTCGAGATCATTATTCTGATAGATCTGCTGGCATATCTCGTTCAATAATACTTCCATATCAAAATTTTTGAAATTTTTTTCCTCCGAATCATGACGACGAGAGTTATCAGGCCCCAAGTTTTCAGCAGCATCCAACTCATAATTTATATCACAAGAACTCTTGCTAGATTTACTCGTTCGCTTGTGGTTCTTTTTCAGACGTCCACTATGTCCTGGATCAGATTCTTTGGCTTCGATACCAGCGTTACTTGTCTGCTTATTCTTTTCTTGTTCACTGAACATTTCTTCTTCCATTAGATCCTTTACACTTGTCCTAGCATCATCAGCTATCGGAGTGTCTCTTTCTTTACCGTCCTGAAACATTTTGGAAGCAAATAAATGTCACGAATTAGCTAAAATTCACCAATGTTGCAGATCATTCCCTTGAACTCCTTCCTACACTGCATCCCTGGTAAAATAAAAAGTAGACTGTCGGTTTCATTTTTAGAATCTGTTTTCTTTTTTTCTTTTTTTTTTCTTCTGAGAAAATAGAAATTAGTTTGACAAAAATGAACACCAAAAAAATATTTTCAAATTTTCAAAAATTATTTTCGGCCCAGAAAAGAGAAAATCATTTAAAAATGATGAGTTTTTTTTTTTTTTTTCATTTTTTTAACCAAATTAATTTTTAGTGTTTTTGGGGAAAAAAACAGAGAGCATATTTTGAAAACGAAACCAAATAGGTTATGATTTTCAAATAGGGATTTCATTTCAATACAAAAAATGTAATCCACACGTACATAAATTTCTTGAGGGTCCCCATTTGAGTTTTTCCGCATGTGCAGTTTAGAGGGGGAATACCGAGCACCTGTGTAAAAGGAAGATTCCCAATAATTAGACATGGAAAGAATAATTTACACACACACACAAAAAAAAAAAAATTAAACCAGTGCAATGTGTATAGAGGAGCACACAAAAAAAAAAAAAAATTAAACCAGTGCAATGTGTATAGAGGAGCTGGCCTGCCCCAGCAAGGCCTCCTCATAGGTCCTGGGTTCAGACGCATACACCCCCTCCTTCCCCCTCCCCTTAGTTTTTTTTTTTTCAACATGTGCTTTCAGTTGCAACATTTTTAGAAAATATACCTTTTTTAGGCTTAAAAAATGGTAAAAATTATGCTTCTAAATAATAAAATAAAATAAAAACTATTTCTTGACAGTTTATATTTGTTGGGAACAAAGTTCTTCTTTTTTTTTCTTTTTTTTTTCTTTTCTTCATTTAAATAGCAACAAATGAATTAAGCTACTAGACTTGTATGAATTAAAATTCAAAAGGAGAACAATTACAAGCAAAAAAAATCCAGTTGAATAAGAAAACATATTATCTTACAGAGAAGCACTCCCCAAAGACATATTGTTTTTAGTTTAAGGCCAGGCAAATTTTCAGAACTACATTATGGCCTTGTTTGTCATAATCTTAAAAAGTCAAAAAGTCAAAAATTCGTTATCCTATTTAAATCACATCACTTCTCTACCACATTATTTCAAACCCAACCCATATCCAACTCATATTTCATAAAAAGTCAAAAAGTGCACTTATTTAGATTATCCCAAACTACAACTCAAAAAATTCAAAAACATTAACAGTTTACCATGGTCTTGCTTTATTAGATAACCTCTTACCAACATTTTGTCGCCTCCTATCCAAAAGCCGCTTACGAGTTGATCGACCATAGCGAAAATCAAAGAAACTAATGAAGCCCCATATGCAGCCTGCTTGATCTTTATCATATCGAATAGGGTGTCGTTGTGATTTCTTTGCCATAATGACAACGTGATTTCTTGAACTTTATCACAATCTGTTCATCCAGATTTCGTTGCTGATACAGCTACACGAGACCTGGCAAATGAGAAAATGGATGTACAAAAAAGTAAACACCAATACTAAAAAACAATCAAAATGAAATTCCACACACTTTGTGGTTTGTACATCTCCAATATAACAAACTAGAACTATATAAACTTCATTCCTCGACATGGAAACCATCAAATTGTCAAGATAAATTAAAAAGAGGAAGCAAGTAGAACTTTTGAGACATTGAGGAAGATAGGGCAATATATAGTTCTGATGAGAATAAGTTATGAAAGAACATTTCAAAATCTAGAAGTAAATATTGAAGATGCTCAGCAATATAGATTATTGTTGAACAATTGAGAAGCACAGATAAACAGATATACCAATGAATTCCAAATCTTCATTAACATTTTCAGGAGAATTCAATTATGGCTTCATAAATGGAAATTTTAAGGTTTTGTATGGATCTTGGATTTGAGGAGAGATTTGTGAACATTTTCCCTTGCCTTTTCTTTTCCCTCCACAATTTCTTTCTCAAATCCAAAATCCAAACTCAGCCTGAGCATGGCTTAAGAAAACCAGCCTGGTTGTTTCTTGAACCCTGTAGTCATTGTAGATTGTACAATCATCATATAAATAATACAGTCACTATTCTCATTATCCAAATGCAGTGAAAATTTTCTGGACCAGAAATGTCAAAATGAAAGTTATTTTCCAATTTACAATTTAAATGCTAAGATGGTGGATTATTGATTTGTTCTATCAACCATTCAAGCAAAAAATAAAAGAAAAAAGAAAAAAAAAATTGAAAATTTGGAAATGAAGGCTGGATAAAAACCTGAAAACAGAGTCCTTGAAATTGATAGGCCAATAAGAACAATCATGCAGCTAATTATTCTCTCAAAGAAGAGAAGAGATTCCAATTTCAAATCCTCAAGCTTTCCAAAAGAGTCAATCTCAAGGAACTAAACCTTTGTTTGGCTGGCAAGGAATCACAACTTTCTTTTTTTCAACTTTTCATCCATAAAGCATCAACCAGTAATGGTATTCTGATCTTCCCTTAGAAGACAAGATCAAGTCTGACAAATTATACTTACTCTAAACTCCGAAGATTATGATTGGTTCATAACCCAATTCTTCACAATCAAACCACAATAAACAACACTAATCAACAAACAACTTCGTTGTTGAAGGATGTGATCAAGATCTTAGAAAGCATTCAATGTTGCCTTGAAAGATGTTAAACACATCCCATAACCCATTGGTGCAAACCCAAAACCTCACTCTCGAATCGGAGGTCCATCCATGTTCCGGTTTTCGCCATGTCTTTTCTGACAATTTGGTCCAAAGTATGAGGAGTCCACCCCACTTTCCTAGATTTTACTACACTCCAAACAACAACAATCCCCATTACATACAGACTCAACAAATCTCCTCCAATGTCAAATCTTCAACCCTCAAAACACCAAATTGCTCCAATCTTTCTGAAATACTGGTCTTCATATCTCTGAGAAATATGAACAGTTACCTTATGGGTGTCTTCAACAACCCAAAAGAAACAGACCCCAAATAGTTGAACCACCAAATGAAAAATTGAAGACCCAATTCAAACCCTTTTCAAGTACCCAAATCAAATTCCTGCAAATTCCAAGCATATCATCACAAACCCACAAAAAATAAAAATAAAAATTTCCCAGTAGGTATCTATCAAGAAAAAAAAATCTCAACCAACCCCGAAATGCTAAAAATCAACCATGCGCAAATTCTTATCAAAACTGGAAAAAAGGGGTTTGTGGGTAATCTTGACCGACCAAAAAGGGAGAGACACAGAAGGCTAGAACACCGACCCACGTATTATAATAGAGGAGGGTAGGTGTGGGGCAGCCATTAAAGACTGAGGAAAGTTGAAGAAGAGAGTCGTGAAGAAGAAGAGGAAAGGCTGGAAAGTGAAACTGTGAGTGCATGAGAGAGAGAGAGAGAGAGAGAGAGAGAGAGAGGTGCAGGACGGTGCTTGGTGTGTGTTGATGGAATGGGAAGAAGAGTACGTACGTGACACCTGGGATTTGTGTTGGTGGGGCCATTACCATCATCAGAGCTTTCCATTGAAGAAAAGGTATGTGGTTTGTGCAATTTTCTCTCTTTTTGTAGCAGAAATTCCACGTTCAACTACCATCAATACTCTCTCTCTGGATGGCACCTTGCAATTTTTAGTCGGAGAAAACGTAGGAGAGAGAGAGAGAGAGAGAGAGAGAGAGAGGAGACAACACGGGGGGTTGAGAATTGACTAGTGTAGATTTACATGTAACTTGTAAGGTACAATTTATGGCATCTTCAGATTCGTGAGAAATATGATAAAAAATAAAAATAATCAAAAGTATAATTACTAAGACCATCTCCAACGGTTCATTAAACTTGACATTAAATTTAAAATTTGATAAAAAAAAATATTTTTTTGAGCTCTAACGGTTTCACCAAATTGATATCAAATCCATAACTCATCAAACCTTTCACCAAAATGAGAACAGACTCCGCATTTCACCAAATCACTGTTCCTGACCGTTGGGAGCTGGTCAGAAAGTTTCAAAAAAAGGCTCAAACAATTAAAAAATATATATATTTTCCCTCACCGGTCGACCGGCCGGTCGACCAACCTGTTGTCTCGGGACAGATTTGGTGAAAGATGAACCGTTGGAGCATCTGGTATCAAATTGGGAAAATTGTGATTTTTTTACTCAGATTTGATGAAAAGTTTGGTGAACTATGGAGATGCTCTAACCCTCGTTTAAGTTGATTTTTTTTAGTTTGATTTTTTTTTATTAATTATTTTAGTCTGATTTATGTTTAAAATAACTTTAAATTTTTTTATAGTTAATTTGATATTTATGAGAGAAAAATAAAATAATTATAATTTAAATATGACATTTTATCTTATTAATTATTTTAATTTTATTTTTTTATCTTTATTAATTGTTGTAGCTAGTAAATTGCATTTTAAATGAGGCCTTAATCAAATCAACAAAGTCTGACAAAAAAACAAATATTATTTTTGACAAGAGATATATTATTTCACCAATCGAGTTACATGCGAAATATTCATACTTACGGGTTGTTTAGAGTCTTCTATGTATATTTTAACTTTTTAGGCTAAAAATTTTAAGAAAAAAATATAATTGTTTGGGTTAATTTTTTAACTTTTTACAAAAAATGTGTATTAAAAATTTATATAAATTAGTGTGTAAGAGAAGATAAGGATTGTGAGTTGTACAGCCGTACCGTCTGCGCAGGCTGAATTGATGCTAAGAAATGCTTGCCTACTTTTCAGGCATTGCATTGGACGGTGTTGTTCGACCCGTGGGGAACATCACAAGTCCCGTTTTGATAATATGAACCGTTTAATGTGTAGAACTCGTCGAGTACTATATGCCTATAAAAAATCACGTTGATCGAATATCGATAGCTATCTGATCGGATTATTTTTTTTCAACCGTTAACTATAACACCATCTATTTTTTTATACAAAATTGATTTGATCATGTTGTTAGCGATATTCGATCAACGTGATTTTTTACAAATATATAATATTCGACGAGTTTTACACATTAAACGGTTCATATTATCAAAACGGGACCCGTGATAGGCTTCCATGAACCAAACAACACTGTCCTGTGTAAATTTGTTGTGCACCCGTGTGTAATTTGTACCAGGACAAACCCATCACTGTATCATACATTCATGACTTGTACTTTCCATTAATATAAATTTTTTTTTTATATGTTTAATTTATAAATAGTTATAATTTTTTAATTTTTTTAAATAATTTTTTGACTTTTTATCTTTTTTAAGACATACCAAACCAACCCTTAATCATTTTAACAAAGTGATTTTTACTTATGAACTCGTTTATATTAACACATCAATTATAAAAATTACACAATTGTACCCCTTTTAAAGGTAGTTCCAAATGTGAATGTAATACATTTTTATAATTAAAGAGGTTGAAATATACAAATTGATGACGAAAGGGTAAAGTGATTTCGTTAATAATTGAGAGAATCTGAGTGTAATTAAACCTTGTTAATATCCATTTATTTGAGATGAAAATTTTGTATGGAAATTATAAAAAAAAAATATTAAAATAATAGGAAGTAAAAAAAAAGAAAAAAAAGTACATACTTATTTGAGATGAAAATTTTTGGAGAAAGTTGTAATGGATACTTTTACGTTGTGTTTGATTGGGAGATTTAAGGAGGGATTTGGAAAGGGAAATGGAAAAGTTAGGTAAAATGCGAATAAAATATATCTACATTTCACCTAGTTTCACACACCTTTTCCTTTTCCATTTCTAAATCCTTCAACCAAACACAACATTAGGAGATAGGCATCGTTTGGGAAGAAGGTTTGTAAGCTTTTTTGACTATTTTAGTCACAAAAGACAAAATAGGCTATTTTAGCTACAACCAACAAAATATCATATCCAATCCACAATCATTATACTCTTCTCTCACAAAAAAAAAGTCAAAAAAGTTAAAAAGCCAAAAAACTCTTCCCAAACTAAGCTTTTTAGTCCAGGCTAAAATAACAAAAAAAATCAAAAAGTCAACCCACTTCCCAAATCAAGCTTAATGTATTTTGGAGTAAATTGAAAATCAGGTCTCGTTTGAAATGTAAGTTGGTTTTTTAATTTTTTTTGATTATTTTAATTTGAAGTTAAAAAGTTTTATTAGGATGGATTTTTTTGACTTTTATAAAAAAAAAAATTGAAATAATTATAGTTTAAATATAATATTTTTTAGTCTAAAATTAAAAAATATATTTTACCCTTTTGCAACTACTTTAACCCCAATCCATCCGAATCCTATACGCCAAACCAATGCTCAAACTACCATATTGATAAGAATTGTAAAAAATCGAATTAGTTCTTGTTTGACAATGACTTTTTTAGTTAAATTTTTTATTTTTTTAACTTTTTTTTAGCTTGGGACTTTTTTTGTCGTTTAGTATTATTGTTTGGTTTTTTTTGACTTTTTGGCATTGGAATTACAAATATTTTTTTGTCCTTTTGTAATTTTTTTGACTCTTTTTTATCCTTTTATGATTATTTAGCCCCAATTCAAAAACCAAACAACACCTTAATAAACAAAATAATTGATTTTTTTTTCTCCATATATTCATGTGATTCTTGGATTCTTTGTTTGTTTTGTCAGATTATATTGTGAGGATTGAATAGGGATGACATTCACTCGGTTTGGTTTTTATTTAAAAAAAAAAAGAATTACTTTTTGGGTTTTCGTATTTTTATTATTTTTACTAAATCTTTTTAAGAAAAATTATTTATAAGTTCTATTAAGGAGACTTATGTTACATATGGTCCTACTAAAAAAACTTATGTTCCCATAAGTCCTGTGAGAAGTTTGTTGACACATTTACCCTCAATATTAGTTGTTAATATCATAAATAATAGTAAAACCATATATAGGAAATTGAATGTTATCATAAATCATATCTATATAAACGTAACGTAACGTGACACCTATACGTAACATGACACCTACATAAACGTAACGTGATATCTATGATCTATGGTAGGAAATTGCATGTTACCATAAATCATATCTACATAAACGTAACGTAACGTGACACCTACATAAACGTAACGTGACACCTATGATCTATGGCAACATTTAATTTCCTATATAGGAAATTGAATGTTACCATAGATCATATCTACATAAACGTAACGTAACGTGACACCTATACTCTATGGCAACATTTAATTTCCTATATAGGAAATTGAATGTTACCATAGATCATATCTACATAAACGTAACGTAACGTGACACCTATATAAACGTAACGTGAAACCTATGATCTATGACAACATTTAATTTCCTATATAGGAAATTAAATGTTACTGAGGGGGAGATTTGTAGGCTGGTTTGGGCCGTGGTAGAAGCGGGGCGAATTGAGGGCCGAGCGCGTTTGGGCCGAGATAACTTGGGCTTGTCCAGAGGTGGTTTTGCTCGGTCAAGGCCCAGGACCATGTTTGGACCGAGCTACTTGGGCTTGTCCATGTCCAGTGTCGATTTTGCTCGGCCAAGGATTAGGTCCCGTGTTTGGGCCGAGCTTACTTGGCCGAGATGATCTCCTGCCAACCCGGGTTCCATGTTTCGCACGTTTAGCTTGGCGGGAAAGGCCTTATGTTTACCGGCTCGACTTGTCTTGAACTCAGCTCTACCGGAATGCTACTGAGCTCGGTTGTTATGGAGCACGGCGGGTGGAGCAC